CCTTATTTGGTTCCCCTTGTGTGTGTGTGTGTTTGTTTGTGTGCGCGCGTGCGCGCGCGTGTGTGTGTGTGTGTGTATGTGTGTGTGTGTGTGTGTGCGCGCATGTTTGTTGGGCTGGGGGTATCGAGCGTGTATGATTCAGAGATTTTTGAACAAAGTGGAAAAACAATTTGCATTTGTTTTGTGATTTTTTCCTGGTTTCTCTACTTGTTTCGATCTCTTAACCAAATATTGTTTTTCCTGTTGTGTCTGTCTCCAGCTCACGCTCCCGTGACCCACCCACTGGGACCCGGACCAACGATAGGACCACGTGAGTAGATGTTTTTCCTGATGGCATAGTTAGTTCAGTTGTATCTACAAGGTGATTTTCAAAAAACTGTACAACTTTTTTCTATATACCTCGAAACAAAATTTGTACTAGAATGTTATAATTTGGAATAGATATAATTTATTCAAAAGGAATTTGTTTGACATAAAATTCGCAAAGAAGAAACTCATTCTCGAAAACGGAAATGGCTTTTATATTTTTTTTCAAAAACCACCTAAAAATGTAAAAAGCACCAATTTAAAAGATATTGTAAGGAAAGTCATGACATGATTGGTTTTTTTTTTTTTTCTTTCCTTTTATTTTCTATATCTAATCTTTCCATCCCTGCAAACTTTGAAAAAGTTTTTTGCTCCTAAAGAGTTTTAAAAAGATTTTTTTTCAATTCTGAAATTCCGAGAACCAATGTAGTTAAACCGAAAGTGACCCTAGAGGTTAATTATAACAATTGATCAGATATATGTTCTGCTCAAACTAACTTTATGGTACCGAAAAGTATAAACAGGCAGTCAATCTTTGTAGAAAGGAAATGTTTTACTCTAATTTATACGCCTTTTTCCATTTCAAGATAAACGTCTGTGAACTTCAGTCTCTTTTGTGGAGTTTTTATAAAGGGAGGAATCCCATAATATTTTGTTATTTGTCCGCAGAAATTGCACTTCCGTCATCCATCTTGATAACACCAGTATCAATGGGCAATAACACCTCTGATAAAGGCCCAATTGTAGATAAACAAAAACTATAAGTTCCTATTATTACAACCCCTCCTCCGTCCTCCGCCCCCATATCCCCTAACCTTATCCCCATGAGACATACACGTATGTACATTGTATACTTACATCTGTGCCGGCTGCAGGTGTTATGTGACTTTGATTCTTGCATTACATCCCTTTTTATGATTGGGAACAAATTGTTCACACACACACACACACTCTCTCTCTCTCTCTCTCTCTCTCTCTCTCTCTCTCTCTCTCTCTCTCTCTCTCTCTCTCTCTCTCTCTCAATATTTAGATAATTCGTCAGTTTTCTTGGATTTTAACAATGCTGAAAGGGCATCTTCTTTGAGCCTGTTTCGAAAAAGTCCCTATTTACGAACGCACGAAAAAATCGAGAAAGGAAAGAAAAGAAAAAAGCTTTCCATTCCTTCATTACTGGGTTCAATCAGGTAATTTGATACTACTTACTTTACTATTTCATCCTCTGTTGCCGTTAACCGTCGAGGGGAGATGCAGTTTTCTATGGTAGGCCAGCTCCACAGCTCTTTCAGTTGTGATGTTATGTTTTCTTACGGTTTCCTTGACACACTTGATCCACCTTTGGCGTGGCCTTCTTCTTCCTTTATAGCCTGAGTGCTTGGTGTTGTAGGCTCTCAAGGCTGGCTGGTCAGGTGACATGCGTAACAGGTGGCCAAACTATTTTATCCTCTGTCTTTCTATGTAACGCAGGCAGGACTCAGTGCCGATAGCTTGCTTCTTCATTTCTCTGCCTGTCTCGTCTTGTGATTTTAAGGGTTTTGCGGAGACATTCCATTTCGCATGCCGTGATTTTGCTTTTGTGAGTTTTGCTTAAGGTCCAGGTCTGGCACTGATAACATAATGTTGGTATGAATATTGAGGTGATAAGCTGTCTCTTTGTGTCCATGGAGATGTTTGGATGAGACAGAAGGGGTGCGAGCTGGTAGGTGACAGCGTTGGCTTTTTAAGTTCACATTTCTATTTCTCTGTCTTTGGACCCGTTTTCAGAAAAAGTGCTGCCAAGATATTTAAACTCTTTCACCTGTTTTAGTTGCTTACTATTGACATGGATGTTCAGGGGACTATGGTTTCGGCTCAGGTAATTTGATAAAACCAAGAATTTTGCTGCAAGAACCCCCGCAAAAAAACACAAAAAACAACAGGACAAAACAAACAAACAAAAACAAACAAACAAAAAAAACAACAAACCCAAACCCTATCCAAAAAAATAATAAATAAAACAAGGGAACAAACGTGATGAAACTTCTGTTTCTGAAGAGTCCTTGATTATGTCCCTTGCCTAGAGTAGACCACTGAACCTTTCGTTACGAAAATCTTACAAGATCTAATCTAGAATCTAGATCTAGATCTAGATCTAGTTTTTTTTGTTTTTGTTTTTGTTTTTTTTCAAATTGAATGTATTAGATCAAGATCTATGCCCAGAAAGCGAAATTTTACAGGAAAGAGTGTGTAATACGCGCAACGAATCTCTCAAAGTGACGAATTGATATGGACTGTACCGGCGTCTGTGGTAAGAGGTTTGCTGTTGCACACCGGAGATCTGAGCTCGAGTCTGGAGTGACGATATGTTTTGTTTGTTTTTTAAAATTAATCGAGATATCTCGGCCTTTCTACCGGAATGCTGTATCCCTACCAGCCTGGGTTGGCATTGACAGTTTGACAGGCAGTGTCGGAAGCCTGTCTCCTGAATGATCTATACGGTATCGATGAGGCTTTCAAAACACTAACAATGAAAAAAAGGCTTATCAACTCTCGCCCCCACCCCCTCTCTCTCTACTCTCTCTCTCTCTCTCTCTCTTTCTCTCTCTCTCTCTCTCTCTCTCTCTTTCTTTCTCTCTTTCTCACACACACACAGACACACACACACCCTCATTCACACACATATAATACACACTTACAAACACATGGAACACATATATTGCGTTAAGATATTGATATATATCCCCCCACCCCCGGCCCCTCCCCTCACATACACACACATGCACACACAGACAGACACACACACACTCTCTCTCTCTCACACACACAGACACACAATCACACGCACGTACACACACTTACACACACAAACATACACAGGCACACGCACGTACACATACAAACTCTCACACTCACACACACACACACACACACACACACACACACACACACACACACACACACACACACACACACACTCCCTCTCTCTCTCTCACACACGCAAACAGAACAC